GGGAGAGTTATGTTTTTGATAATGGAGATAGACATAGTCTGGGCTTAGTGGCAGTTTATGCTGAATTGGAGCTGGATATCCATCTAAGGCTTGTGTGTGTGTGTGTGTGTGTGTGTATGTGTGTGTGTGTTTGTGTGAAAGAGAGAGAGGGTGTCAGACACTGAGCTTGAGTGGTCTGGGTTATCTCATTGCAGGGGGCTGAGAGAGGGCTCCGGGGCCTGAGAGGGGACCACAGTAGGTGGACATTTGTGTTTGTGTGTCTGAGAAATTTGTCTTTGTTCTGGTTGTTTATTTAAGGGTGTGGGTGCTGTGAATGTTTTGAGTTTGTTAGGGCACTGAGGGTATGTTGTGTGTATGTGTGAATGTGTTAAGAGGAAAAAGAAAGAGTATGTAGTGCTGGTTGTTATTTTTGAGAGTGCTGTTGTGGAGAGCAATTGTGGAAAGCTATTACTCATTTGAGTGAGCAAATGTGTGTGTAAGAGAGTGTCTTATGTGCTGTTATGACACAAATCACATCTCTGGAATAATAAAGTACAAATGTGGTTTTATCTCAGTGCTGTCTTTATCTCTGAAGGGGCCATTAAGGATGTGAAGCATGCTGTTTACATTGTGTAATAACTGTTCACTTATTATATGAAACATTTATAAGATGCTTAGCATTAGCTAACACATACCTGTCATACTGCTGAATTTATTATACTGATTTATTATACTGTGTTAGACACTGCGCTGCCATATATTGATGTGAATCTGCATAATCGTCAATGGGTTTTATATCAATTACACTGATGCTAGTGAATACAACACAATCACCACACAGAGTGGTGAACACAATAATTTATTCCCTTATCTGTCCAACAAAAACAGATACTGATTATCCTGTTGTCTCGGTAAAGCATGATAATAAGTGTGTTCCATTGTTCGCATCACTGAACAACACTACGCTACTGAAGTGATAGCCAATGGACTGACAAAATACATTACATTTTTGTTGTAATTTGCTCAACTTTAAGTTGTTCAAAACCTGTATTTTTTTCTTCTTCTTGTGAACATACACAAAACAAGATATTTTGAAGAATGTGTGTAATCAAACAGTTGGTGGTCCCCATTTATTCCATTGTATTATTTATTGATTTGATCTATTTATTTTCTATAATATAGAAGTCAGTGGGGTCCATCAACTGTTTGGTTACACATATTCTTCAAAATATCTTCTTTTATGTTCTTTTAAGAAGAAAGCAACTCATACAGGTTTGGAACAACATGAAGGTGAGTAAATGATGACAGAATGTTCATTTTTGGGTGAACTACGCCTTTAAGGAGGGGGACCTGCATCAAAACATCAAAACACTTTTTATTGAAAACTATTATGAGCATGTATGTTTTTCTTCTCATGTGAGTGTATACCATTCAGACGACTCTACATTTTTAATTACTGAACTATTGAATAAACCTTTAAAATAGTAAGTGTATTGTAGACATTTGTCTATGAGAAACATTTCAAACTGTAGTAAGCTACATTGTCACATGACCTCATTACGTTGAATACAATGTTTATTTTATTAGTTTACTAGGTTATTGCAGTCAGATTAAATAACAAGTCAAAAAATAATCTATATAATTAGTACCAGCAAATGTAGCAGTTCATACAAGATGTTTGTTTTTTTGTTTTTTTTAGAAAACTATTACTACACCATTCGGGGATGAAACACAGTGTAATTCAAAATAGCAGTGTATTCTGACTAAACTAGTAAACAAAATGTATTTGCAAGCAACATAAAAATATAAGTTACATATTTATATTTTCATATAATAATATTTAAATATAGTGCTAGTCAAGCACCTGCCATTGAGATAAGTGGAAATGCTAATGGGTATGGGAATGCTAATTGTTGCAATCATGGCTAGTGACAAAAACTCACATTTACATGGAAGAGCTTTTAAATTCAAGCCAATTCAAGTACATTCTTTTAATGCACATGTGCTATTGAAACAGGAATATAATTATGAAGCTCAAGCCCTGTTGTGTGTGTGTACTTTAATGCAAGATGCTTTTCAGTCACATGAAGCCATTCTTCTTTATCTCATGTCCATTTCCCAGTCAGCCATTCAATCACTGAATCATATTCTCTCAACCCTTAACAGCACTTTTATCAAGCTCCCTCACTCCTGCCAATCATTCTACCCCTCTCATGTCTTCTCTCTCCATCCCTCGCTCAGATCCACCACTCCTCTCCGTTGTGGTGGCCACTTACGAGACAGACGTGACCATACATCCATGCCGCCTTTTAGAGTTTCGTTACCCAGAATGCTGCAGCTGTGTCATTTGCATGGCAGGGTTTGGACCTCTCACTGGAGAATGAGAGTGTGGCTTTGAATTATTCATTTAGGGGACACAGAGAGGAAGAAGAAAATTGTCCTCCTCTCTTTTTTTCTTCCTCCCAGTCTGTCTTTTTCTACTCGTTGATGCTCTCATGAATTTGTCAGCTCTCCCTTTAAATCACATTGTGATGTTGTAGCCGCTTGTTCAGTAGTGTTTGAAGTAGCTACTCTATTTGTTTAAGTACTCATGACTGTCAGTTGTCTGGGGTTGATTGGTACTGTGTTTAGAGTCTGCAGACAGGCTTGGTCTCAGTGCAACTGCGAATCAATGGTGACATTCTTCTGTTTTCTGGGGTTTTTGTTGTTTTCAGTGCACCATCTGTTCCCCCACTGGACTTTAGCGATGTATCGGAGAAAAAGAGCTCAAACCATCCAGTAGCAAATTTCAGCATAAAGAGCACATGATGTACAATTTCACATCTGTAATTTATTAGTGGTGCTTGCTACAGCATTTACATTGCTCATACTTTGAACAAACCCTTAACCCTTGTGAAAAGAAGCACAGTTTAGCATGCTTTTATTATTACAGAAATGATATACTTCTTTAAAGCACCAAAAATATTATTACAACATGATGATTTAAAATGTACTTTAAAATTTTCAGTCTGGAATTTTTAAAAAAATGTGCTGAAGTGTGTTTTAGGTTGACAGTTCTGTATCTGAGTCCTTAATATGGTTAGGTTCACAAACAGTACGATTATTTTCAGGACTCACAACTGCATTCTCGGAAAACCTGAGGTGGAGATCTGAGCTATGAAGGTTTTACATCCAGTCACGGTTCTCCACCAGAGCTGCTCCCATCAGTTTTGTGTTGTATGCATTTGTTGACTCAAATGCTCCACTCTCCCCCCAAATTTGCTGCTGGTTAATGAAGATTTAATGGATGAACTTGCGGCTCAGTTGGGCTTTTGTCATGTCAAAAAGTGATATGACTTTTCAGTTTTATGGACGTCACCATCTTGGATATTACTTTGATCACTGTAGCTATGGTTACTGGTAAGGAATACAGTATTCAAGATGCTAGTCTAAATTGCTGTGTGAATGCGATATTTCAAAACCCACACCTGTAAGTAAATGTGGTTGTCAATTTCAAAAACTGACAGTGTGAATGTAACCTTTAAGTACACTTAAAGGGATAGTTCATCCAAAAATGAAAATTTGATGTTTATCTGCTTACCCCCAGGGCATCCAAGATGTAGGTGACTTTGTTTCTTAAGTAGAACACATATGATGATTTTTTACTTTAACCGTTGAGGTCTATCAGTCGTATAATGCATGGCAATGGTAACAAAATCTATGAGAGTAAAAAAAACATGCACAGACAAATCCAAATTAAACCCTGTGGCTCATGACGACACATTGATGTCCTAAGACACGAAATGATCGGTTTGTGCCAGAAACCGAACAGTATTTATATAAATTTTGACCTCTAATACACCACTATGTCCAACTGTCTTTGGGCGCGAGCACGGCATCCGGTGCGTGAGGTGTGTAATGGTAATTAAAACAGACTTGTGTGTGTAGGAGTGTGTGTATGAGGCATGCTTTCTCTAACAAACAACATCTTGCGTAGTTTACGTTAATGGGTGTGTTGATATCCAGCCGAAGAGCAATCAACCATAACTTCAGGCGAGCAGGCTCAGAAGTTGGGAATACGTGAAAAGTCACCACCCCCTGAATGAGTTCGCGCGAGAGAACGTAATCTTTTAGTTTAAAAAAAAAGTCGGTTTGAACAATCCGGATAAGCGCAAGTAAGTACCATTTTGATTAGCTGTCGTACCTACAAAGACTGTGCACTGTGTAAACAATGAGTGACGTATATATACTCGCGAGAGATCACTTCCGGCGCTTGCGTAAATTATGCCAGAGCGTGTACTGATCGTTTCGTGTCTTAGGACATCAATGTGTCATCACGAGCTGCAGGGTTTAATTTGAATTTGTCTGTGCATGTTTTCTTTTACTCTCATAGATTTTGTTACCATTGCCATCCATTATACGACTGATATACTGCAACGGTTCAAGTTAAAAATAATCATATGTGTTCTACTGAAGAAACAAAGTCACCTACATCTTGGATGCCCTGGGGGTAAGCAGATAAACATCAAATTTTCATTTTTGGATGAACTATCCATTTAAGTGGCATTTTATTTCATTAATAGTATATAAAATATACTTTTAAGATTTGAAATACACTGCAAGTGTACATACAGTACAATGAAGTGCACTTCTTTTTCACAAGGGAAGTATTAAGCTTTGGCACACACTGTAAGTCATCCCTTATTTTCCTTATAATTGCTCAAATTGTGTGACTTATTTTGCAAGCATGTGCTGTTACTTTTCTAAGCAATCTAATTTGGGATTTTTATATGATAATAAATAAAATAAGAAATAAACTGAATTATATGAATATCATATAAACTGTAAGGTGGAGTCTTTTAGGCAACCACCCAGACCATCCTAGCAATACACACAGTAGTATATGCTAAAAACCAGTCAGATCCACATTTATGTGGGATTTTGTAGTGTTTTCACTCAATAAACCCATCACAGTGTGTTGTGTACATGTGGCAATATAAAAACACTTACATGCATTCCCTTGTTTATTTTCCTTTGTCCAGAAATCGTTTTCTCTGGTGATCGAGGCTCTGGACCATGACAATGAAACATCAGAGGCAGGTATGGTGATGAGTACTCTGTGTGTGTGTGTGTGTGTGTGTGTGTGTGTGTGTGTGT